GGAGAGAGGGGGAGAGAAAGAAAGGGAGGTAGGCATAGGAAAAGGGAGAGAGAAGAAGATGGCAAAAGGTAAAAATAAAAAAATAACATGACAATATAACTCGGCTCATGAGAAAGATCTGATCTGCAACGACTACTCATGACACTACAGATCACAGCCAGCAGAGGGAGCCGGACACTCACCTAATGTGGAAGTTCTGAACATTGACGTTTCTGTATGGTGCGGTCTTCCTCTGGCACCACAGCAGCAAACCCTCCTTTGCAGAGGTTTCTAAAAAAAAGTGGGAGATAAAGCCTAAATAACACCTAAAACGCATGTGTTTGGCAGGTTAAAGTAGCTGTTTGCTGACCCTCTGCAGAAACAAAATTCAACTTACTGTGTATTTAGACTAGCAAGATATTCTCTGGGTTACATGAATGCATGAAGGGCCCTCCAGTGACTCTGAAACATCACTCTCTGAGGTTGCAACAGAATCCATTGATATGGGACCCATCACAGAACATGTTCAAAGTCAGGCGTCCCCTCAGGAAACCGTATGTGACCCCCCCGTCATATAAAAAGTGCTGCTTCCAGCATCTTCATTTAAATGACTTTATTTGTAATTCATTCAGAAGCAACATTTTGTACTGAGCAGAGTAAATCAAAGAGGGGTCCTGCTCGTCGTTCATGAGTAACAGCCCCTGACCTTCAACTGAGATGTCCTGGATGGCAAAGCGCAGGATGATGGTCCAGATCATCCCCAAAGTCATCTTCACGTTGCCGTCAACGATCTCTGTGGGAAAAATGAGACCATCTGTTAGGGACGGATACCACGGTACACTGGGAGAACTGGAATGATCCAGAAAGTTAAACGGCCCGGAGAAGCAGATTCACACATCGGTGCATGACAAACTTTTATGTTCAGATACCCTGAGAGGAGAAACAAAGACGTATGTCGCAGAGTTTGCGATGGACAGAGGACAGAGACTCACCTTCAGCGCCAATGGACACCAGCTTCACCCCTTTGCTGCAAATGAAGTCTAGGGCCTTGTTCACGTTGGCGATCTTGTGGAAGCGCATCTTGCCCTTGTCAGGTTTGGGCAGCCGCTCGCCTGTTATTGGACGGCAAGTTCACACCATCATAGTTACCCACCATTCCCATCACCTCCATCAACCAATGAGCATGCCAAATTGTTCCCAAATGACTGGATGGACCAATCATGGGGCTACTTCTTTAAGGGCCTGCAATGCTACACCTTTGGCTCTCTAGCTATTTTCACTTTCGCGTCAAATAAAGGTATCTCAATAATTTATGTTCATGTTCTTCCTTCGGGATTCTATGTCCTGTTTCTTATTAAATAAACATTTAGCTGTAAAAATCAGGAAACATGTCAGCTTGATGCAGATCTTATTAATCTGCAAGAGTCCCTGATAATTCGACCTTCAGTCCATTATAGTCATTCTAACGCCTGTAAAACATAAATCACCATGTATTAGGCAGTGAGGCTGTGCAGCATTGCATGTCAGTGTTACTGTGTTACTCGAAACAAACACAATTAGATATCTATGCTTTTGAAACATTGTTGCATGCCTGTACACAGAATGTACATAATGGAAAATAAAAAGTAAGAACAAAGTGTCTGTGGGCAAGTCAGATTAAAGGGAATGACCTTAGAGGATATTTGAGAATTATGATATGAACTGAACATCCATCCATCCATCTTCTAACTGCTTATCAAGTACAAGGTCATGAGACCTGGAACCTGCTCTAGACAGCATAAGGTAGAATGCAAGGTAAACCCTGAATGGGATGTCAGTCCAATGCAGGACTCATACATCTACAATGTGAGTAACGTAGGAAGGAGGAAGCAGGAATACAGGAGGAAACCTGCACATCACAGGAGGGCACACAAAACCCACACATCACAGGAAAAAATCAGCACATCGCAGGAGGAACGTACAAATCCCAAACAGCACAGGAGGAAATCTGCACATCAAAGGAGGAAATCTGCACATTACAGGAGGAACATACAAAACCTGCACATCACAGGAGGAACATCCGAAACCCACACATCACAGGAGGAACATACGAAAGCCACACATCACAGGAGGAACATACGAAAGCCACACATCACAGGAGGAACATACGAAAGCCACACATCACAGGAGGAACATACAAAACCTACATATTACAGGAGGAACACACAAAATCTACACATCACAGAAAAAATCAGCACATCACAGGGGAAAACCTGCACATCACAGGAGGAACATACAAAACCTGCACATCACAGGAGGAACATACAAAACCCACACATCATAGGAGGAAACCTGCACATCACAGGAGGAACATACGAAACCTACACATCACAGGAGGAACATCCAAAACCCACACATCACAGGAGGAACATACAAAACCTGCACAAGATAGGAGGAACGTACAAAACCTGCACAAGATAGGAGGAACGTACAAAACCTGCACAAAATAGGAGGAACATACAAAACCTACACATCACAGGAAAAAAACAGCACATCACAGAAGGAACATCCGAAACCCGCATATCACAGGAGGAACATCCGGAACCCACACATCACAGGAGGAAACCTGCACATCACAGGAGGAACATACAAAACCTACACATCACAGGAGGAACATACGAAACCTGCACAAAATGGAAGGAACATACAAAACCCAAACATCACAGGAGGAAGATACAAAACCCACACATCACAGGAGGAACATACGAAACCCGCACACCACAAGAGGAACATCCAAAACCCACACATCACAGGAGGAACATGCAAAACCTGCACAAAATGGGAGGAACATATAAAGTCCACACATAACAGGAAAAAACCAGCACATCACAGGAGGAAGATACGAAGCCCAAACATCACAGGAGGAACATACAAAACCCGCACATCACAGGAGTAACATACAAAACCCCCACATCACAGGAGGAACATACGAAGCCCCCACATCACAGGAGGAACATACAAAACCCTCACATCACAGGAGGAACCTAAAAAAGCCATGCAATGGGCTGCTTAGATAGGAACAGTACCATGTGACTTCTACCATCCACATTTCAGAAGATTCTTACAAACTATTTGGACATCTAATACTGGCATGTGGCACAATGTGTTTCTTTGTATTCCAGCTGTAATTATGAGTTTGCCAATATGACAACAAGGACCAGCAGGCTGACTTTGCACATCAGAGACTCTCCCACCTGAAATAACCTCCAAGAGGAGCATGAGCTTGAGTCCATTCCTGAAGTCCTCCTCGATGTTCTCAATCTGCGTGCCGGCTTTCCTTAGATGAGAGTTACACCAGGCGGTGAAAGTCTGGAGAAGAAAGAATCCCCGCATTACGCCTGACTGCTGAGGTGACCCTCAGTGCCAATGGCAGCTATTTCTATGCCATGGGAAAACGGGAGGTGGACACTCCAAATAATTCATGACTGAGAAAAACGGTTACATGTGTGGATACTGACAAAAAGAGCAGGTCTAAAGCTTGCATTTCATTACTGTAACCTGCACTGACTGACACTGAAGGGGCCTGATTGGTATGTACTGTACTATGGCCAGATATTCATGGGTTAACCTGGCCTGTAGCTTGGGGCCCTGAGTCACAGGGGCCCCAG